ATCTCTTAAAACCTGACTCTCTAATGTGTGTGGGCCCTGCATATGTGAAACATGCTTGATTGACGAGGAACCCACATTGGTACTATGATCATTTGGGCTTTGGCCCTCCGAACTGATCAACACGAGTGCCTAATCATGGACCACTTCAGTCCTCTGTTGTAATCATCACTATAGTTTTTAGACTCTGTAATCAGTCCATGGGACTGACAATGCTGAAGTTGAAGGTTTTTAAGGGGGTCCAAGATTGTTTTTATTAAGTAACTGAGAAGGGATATCACAACTTCCAATTCGGGTTCGCACAAACAATGCTAATGTTATTGTTATTACCCTTAGTCCAGAATATACCAGGGAAATGGGGAATTAAAAATGATCAAGAAAGATGAAAAAAGGAAATCTTATTGTTTGGGAATCTTATTGTACGCACAAACAATGCTAATGTTAGTGTTATTACCCTTAGTCCAGCATTACCAGGGAAATGGGGAATTAAGAATGATCAATAAAAATGGAAAACAGAAATCTTATTGTTCTGGAATCATGTGCAACAAGAAAGTATGAAAACTTTTCAAACGTGTAGAATGTGCAAACCATCTAGAAGGCTTCTTGAAACCAAACATGTATGACCCTATTTATTGGTTATAGAACTACCTTTGAGATTAGTGACCTGCTTTTTTTAACCTGGAAGATCTATCCACCATCAGGTAGAGTAAGGTCCTGGCAGAACCTTACCTTCTAGGCTTCTTCTACGATTACTTTCACTTAACAATAGGTAATGTGAAAAGACTGTAGAAAAGCACACACGTGGAGAAAACAATTGATTACCTGTCTAGCAGAGGCTTGAGATATCCATGATGGTAGTAAACAAGGTGTATTATTCAGGGCATCATAAGACGTCTCCTTTGCTTTTCCACAATCAACTACGAACACTATATCATTGATGGTAATACTTGCCTCGGCCATATTTTTTGCCAGTACAATTTTCCGAACATTTTGAAGAGGCCTCTCAAATATAAGTTTCTGTCGGAAAACAACATAAACAAAATAATACCGCAAGGCAATAGGGTACATTGTTTCAGGGGATCTACTACATGTGCATAAAAACCCAAGAGCCAAGACTTTGATAAACATGAAAGGCGAATAATTCCAAGGCAGCACTAGTGTGTTATTTACCATACACTTTGATATGGCCAATAAAATGTAATTTTTGGTTAGCAACAACAAAAATCTTACAAAATCATATCCCCTATATAAGTTAGTAATGATCCATACCTGCAACAGAAACAACATTTTCTGGAAAGAATAAAATTAAAAATAAGTGAAACGATTGGAGCATTGTTGAAATAAACTTCCTTATTGTGGACATCATAATAGCAACAAGTCAAAGAGTTTCAAATAGGGTTGTAAATGAAGTGAACAGTTTTGATTCAATCCATGATTTGTATTCCTTTGTACAGATTCGTATTTTAAATTTTTGAATCTGAATACAGAAAGTATTTGCTATTCATTATGTTAAGTGTTAACGAATATGAATACATAACTATTTGATTCAGTAATATTTGAATATATTTGAATAAATATCTATAATCACAATTTTAACTAAATAAATTATGTATATTAGTATTAACAGAAAAGGATGGTAGAAATTAAAAGGGGATAAAATAATTGTATAAAAAAATTGAGAGCCCTACAGCCTGTATACTATTTTTTTCAATTCAAATGTTGTTTAGTGGGCTGCATGTCCCAGAAAATTGTGCTAAATTTTAATCACAGGTTGAACAAAATTTTGGTTTCAAGATAGACTTTTCCGGTACTCGAATACTTTAAAATGAATCGAATATATCTCATTTCATAATCAAATCAAATACAAATATTAAAAAAAATTGAACAACCTTAGTTTAAAAGCATATGCAATATTCTCGTCACAGTGCAATCTCTAAACAACAACAACAACAACAACAACCCAGTTAAATCCTACAAGAGTAGGGTCTGGGGAGGGTGTGTGTACGCAGACCTTACCCCTACTCGAAAGTAGAGAGGCTGTTTCCAAAGAGACCCCCGGCTCAACGTCGAAAGTTGCATTGCTTGACTAACTGCTACTTCATTAATTAAAGAAGTGCAGACAGTTTAGAGATCCATTTTGATTTATTCCATCACACCCCAAAGCCAAAAAATGGTGAAATTTTGGCTCCATCGGAGATGATGGAATAAGTGGGGCAGTTTTACCTGCTCTGAGGTTGCCATTGAGCCGTGGCATGGAAGCACAAATACCCTGTTGGGATCGCCCAATAGGGGATGAGCTTTAAGTTGGTCCCTCAAACAGCTAATATCTTCCCACCCAGTCATGAATACTAACACAGCTCCTGGTCTTTGCTTACGACATATATGACACAGCACAGCCTCAATCAGATTAAATCCAACAGAATCAGGAGACCAGCATGCCAGGGAATCCCGTGCCCTGGCACTATAGCTGTCAAAGTTTGATCTATTTAGAGCATCCTGAAATACAAAATGAATAAATAAGAAATATGTTTTCAACTACAGAGTTTCTAAATTTCCTTTTTTACACAAATAATTCTTCTGCTCATTTCCATCAAACCCATATTTTTTCCCTCTATTTGCAGGATATTATTTTTCAAATTAAGAGGAAAAGATGCAAGGTTTTAACGGAAAATAGGGGCAAAATGATATGGGCAAAAGTAGAATATTCGAATACATAAAACATATTAGAAGTAATTGCTTGAATAAAGTCATGGAAAAAAGTGGATCCATAATGGGGCAACCATAATAGAGTGTAAAAGAAAGCACAAAAAGCAATAGTTTGAAAATGAATATATATATATTATATAAAGGAGAATTTTATTTCATACGAATAAAAGAAGTTGTTACATCACATGCAATGGATCCCCTAGAGCGCTTTGGGAGTGAAACTAGTGAATAAAAATTACTGAAGTTATTCTCTTGCAAAGCGTGTTGTGCCAGATGATGTGCCGCCGTATTAGCTTCTCTAAAGATATGATTGACCCGTCCCCCGGACCGATTTATCATTTCTCTTGTCATGCTTGTGAAGAAATCATTGTTGGAGAAGTTTGTTAAATTGTTTGCACAACTTTTGGAGTCAATATAGAGATTGACCGGGCAGTTAAGAAACAAATAGACTTCTGCGTACTCCTTCGTATGCTGCCTCCATTTCTGTCTCAGCTGGTGGGAGATTTGGATGAAGAGGATAGGTCCAAGCAATGAGGAATTGGCCATGCCTTGTGCGCAGGATGCTGGCTCCAGCTGATCTTCCCTCTCTGATTGCCGCGTCCGTTGTAAGTGTAACACCAGTGGCTGGGAATACCCATCGATGTACAGTGATTGTGCCCATCCTAATTGAAGGTAACCTTTCATAAATTCTGATATCCGGTGTTGCTTTTCCCTTATGGTGGATGAAAATCCATTCGTAGATCTGTTTTGTGATGATTGTAATTGTCTGTGTCAAGGTGTGTTCTTCTTCCTCGTAAATCCTCCTGTTTCTTTCTTTCCATATCTCGTAGGTTATGATTCCTGGAATGATTTTGAGGAGTTCTTTGTTGAGTTTTTTCAGTTCCCCTTGTTTCCACCAGTTTGTCAAGTAGGTTAGGATTCCATGGCTGGTATTCCTGCAAATTGAAAATATTTGTTCAAAGTAGTTCTTGATTTGGTTGCTGAATGGGCAGTTCTTGAATAGGTGGGTGGTAGTCTCCTCACTGTTCCTGCACAAGAAACAAATAGAGGGGAGTTGAAGTCCCAATCTAGTTAGTGAGTGGGGAAGGGGGAGGTAGCCAAAACACAGTTTCCAAAGGAAGATAGAGTGTTTAGGGTTTTGTTTGGGAATCCAGGAAAGTTTGGTGAAGGGGTGAATGGGATTTTTCTCTCTCAAAGAATTCTTTGCCTTCTTTAAGCTGAAACCAACATCTCCATTATGCCATAGAATTCTGCCCTGGTTGTCAATGCTCAAGTGGTTATCTGTTAGCCCATGTATTGTTAGCCCATGTATTTTTATAGAAGTATTCATTGCATAGGGCTGGACTCCTCGTGTGTATCACCTGGATGACTCTTCGTTTGTATCACCGATGTATATTTATATTCTTTTGTATCAATGGAATAGCCAGTTCAACGTCCTATAGTTTTCTACATGGTATCAGAGCGTTCTTGGGTTCCTAGTAGTTTCCGTTCGCTTAGCAATCGTCCTTTGTCTCCTTGTTCGCATGTTTCAGGCGGACACCGGTTGCACTATAGGTGTTAATCATCCATCGTCACCTTTGTCCGCCCGTCATCCCAGGAGTTCAATCCGACCAATCTGTCGGCCTTTAAATTGTCCGTCCAGTGAAGTGTCCGTCCAGTCAGTCGGTGTTTAAATCGTCCGTCGCAAATCATCCCGGATCGCCGCCCCATCCGTCCAGACATACATAGTCGGCAATTGAAAAGTGGAGAACCTCAATTATTAAAGTGGAGATTAAAATTTTAAGGGATAATTTCCTAAGGAGGCATAATTTTCACCTCAATTCAGCCGCCATTTAGCCACATGGAGGAAGGTCCTCAATTCCAAATTAGCAACAACTTACACCCATATATTGCTACCACACATGCCATGTCGTCTAATACAGTTCGTGATAATCTATCGGATGGTATGCCTCTTCATTCTTGTGGTTGATTGATAGTGGTGCTTCTTATCATATGACAGGAACCATGTCTCATTTATCTAATATTGAGGATGTTTCTCCTAAACCTATATGTCTCCCCGATGGGTCTCGTGTTCAAGCTGTCAAACAGGGGAGTGTGCATTTATCATCTCGTTTGGTATTACGTAATGTGTTATACGTACCAAACTTACAGTGCCACTTAATTTCGGTTGCTTGTTTAATTCGTGACAATATTTGTTGTGTAACTTTTAATGATCATCGTTGTGTAATACAGGACCATTCGTCGAAGATTGTGATTGGACAGGGTGATTTGCGAAACGGCGTGTATGTCTTTGCTTCCTCTCCAGCGTCAGCCCTCGTAGCAAATATCGATCCTATTGTTCTTCATAAACGGTTGGGACACCCATCCGTGGATGTACTCCCTTTCCTAGGTACCAATAAAACACAATCTGTTGTCAAAAAATTACAGACTTGTGAAACTTGTTTCTTGTCTAAACAAACTCGTTCATCATTTCCTGTTAGTGATAATAAAGCTGATGCTATTTTTGATTTAATTCATTGTGATTTGTGGGGACCTTATTCACCTTGCATATCTTCAGGGGCTCATTATTTTCTGACTATTGTTGATGATTTTTCTCGGGCTGTTTGGGTTTATCTCATTAAATCTAAAAGTGAAGTCACTTCTTGTTTAAAGCGTTTTTTTACGATGATTCACACCCAATACTCCAAAACTATCAAAATAGTCCGCTCTGACAATGGTACAGAGTTTTTGAATTCTTCATTGCGTCAATATTATGATAGCCTGGGCGTGTGCATACAAACATCGTGTGTTGGTACTCCCCAGCAGAATGGACGAGTAGAGCGTAAACATCGTCACATATTAAATGTTGCTCGTTCACTCATGTTTCAGGCGTCTCTTCCACTTGAATTTTGTGGGGAGTGTGTCAAAACTGCAGTTTATTTAATTAATCGTACTCCCACGAAAATTCTCAGGGGTAAGTCTCCTCTTGAAATCCTTTCTTCCAAGCCTCAAGATCTCAGTCATCTTCGTGTTTTTGGATGTCTCTGTTTTGTTCATCCTATTCCCAAACCCAAAAACAAATTTTCTCCAAGGAGTGTCAAATGTATGTTTGTTGGATACCCATATGGTACCAAGGGTTGGCGGGTTTACAATCTCAAAACACACCAATTTTTCCACACGCGGGATCTTTCATTTGATGAGTCTATTTTTCCATTTGCTATCCCCACTCCATCAGCTATCTCACAACCTATCCTCACACCGTCATCAGAGGATTTTCCCATTCCTGTACCCAACACCCCCATATTGTCATCCACTTCATAGTCCCCGCCCTCATCTCAGTTACCATCCTCATCCTCTTCCTTCCCTGTTTCGACTGATTCTCCTGCCTCTTCTTCAGATGATGCCAACCCAGGGTCAGGGTCATCCACGGTGGAGACCACTTCTCCACCGGAAACAGTTCCTTCTCTTCCACCGCGTACGCGTCGTCGTCCAGCTCATCTCAATGACTATGTTCTCAATTCCGCAAAGACTGTCTCTCCGATTCCGGTCTCCTCAGGTTCATCACAATCGGGTACTCGGTTCCCTATTACTAACTTTGTTCATTTTAATAAGTTGCATGACAGGTACAAAGGTTTTCTTGGAGCAATTGATGCCACCTCCATACCACGCAATTTTCGTGAGGCTGTTCAGTTTGCTACGTGGCGTGAAGCTATGGCTGCTGAGTATCTAGCTTTAGAGCGTAATCACACTTGGGATATCGTTGATCTTCCTCCTAATCGTCGGGCTCTTGGTTGTCAATGGGTGTACAGGACTAAGTATCGTTCCGATGGTACTAAGGAACGTGATAAGGCTCGGCTTGTTGTTTTAGGCAACCATCAAGAGCCTGGGGTTGATTATACAGATACATTTGCTCCTGTTGCAAAGTTAGCCACTGTTCGTGTCTTGTTATCTGTTGCAGTTGCTCGGGGTTGGCAAGTTGATCAGTTGGATGTCAATAATGCTTTTTTGCAGGGGGACTTACAAGATGAGATATATATATATGAAAATCCCTCCGGGTTATACCCATTTATTTCCCGGGAAGGTTTGTCGTCTTCGTAAATCCTTATATGGGCTTTGTCAGTCTCCTCGTAATTGGTTCACTAAACTCAGTATTGCTCTACGGCGTTATGGTTTTCGACAAGCACATGCGGATCATACACTCTTTGTTCTACGACGTGGCCCAGACATGCTGGTTGTCCTTGTTTATGTTGATGATATTCTAGTGGCCGGTAACAACAGTTCATTGTGTTCCTCTTTCAAGAAATATTTGGACGACTGTTTCAATCTTAAGGACCTTGGCCCCGTCTCCTATTTTTTGGGAATTGAGTGTGCTCGTTCCCGTGATGGTATGGTTCTTAATCAACGGAAGTATGCTCTTGACATAATTAACGAAGCTAATCTCGATGGTTGTAAGCCTGTTGATACTCCATTACCAGTCAATCATGCTTTGGCTCGTTCGAATAGTGCTGAGATTCGAGATCCCCTCAAGTATCGTCGTCTTGTGGGCCGTTTACTTTACCTGACTATTACTCGCCCTGATATTTGTTATGCAGTTCATACACTTTCTCAATTTATGCAGGCACCGCGTCTTGACCATCGGAACGCGGCTCTTCGTGTCGTGCGGTATCTTAAGGGACATCCCGGTCAAGGTATTCTATTGCGTAGTGATAGTAATCTTGCTCTTACATCTTTTTCTGATTCAGATTGGGCAAGCTGTCCACTTACTAGGCGCTCTGTCACTGGGTATTTTATTCTGTTGGGTGGTTCTCCGGTTTCATGGCGCACTAAAAAGCAAACTACCGTTTCTCGTTCTTCGGCAGAGGCTGAATATCGAGCCATGGCTAATGCTTGTGCTGAGATAAGGTGGTTGTGTGGGCTCTTGGCTGCTTTGGATGTTCCTTGTGTGACAACTCCTCGTTTATATTGTGATAATAAATCTGCTTTGTTTATTGCTGCAAATCCTGTCTTTCATGAGCGTTCGAAGCACATTGATATTGACTGTCATATCGTTCGGGAGTGCATCCAGCGAAATCATGTTGTCACAGCTTATGTTCCTACGCGTCTCCAGACTGCGGACATCTTCACCAAAGCATTGTCCGGTCCTTTATTTCACTGTTTATTGTCCAAGTTGGGCATTTATGATATTCATGCTCCAACTTGAGGGGGAGTGTTAGCCCATGTATTGTTAGCCCATGTATTTTTATAGAAGTATTCATTGCATAGGGCTGGACTCCTCGTGTGTAGGCATGGTGTTTAGGACATGCTTGATGAGGGTTAACCTCCCACTCTGACTAAGCAGCTTATGGTACCATCCTTTAAGTTTAGAGTCAAACAAGTTGAGGATGTCATGGCAGTAGGGTTTTCTGTTGATTCCATGATGGATTTGGATGCCCAAGTATTTGAAGGGTAGGCTACCTTTGTTCATTCCCAATATGGTTTGAATTCTACTTTGGGTAGCAAGGGGGGTCTTCTTAGGGATGTAGAAAGAGCATTTTCCCCGATTGATTTGTTGACCAGAGCAGTCTTCATAGTCAGAAAGTAACATTTTGATTCTAGTGACTGTAGGGGAATCACCCTTAGTGAAGAGGATAAGGTCATCTGCAAAGGCTAGGTGGGTAATAGGGGTATAATGCATGCCAAGGTAGTATGGAGAGAGGGATCCAGATGCAGTTTCCTTTTTGATAGTTCTGCTGAAGGCTTCAGAGGCAAGGATGAAGAGGAGGGGGGAGAGAGGGTCTCCTTGCTTCAATCCTCTTTTAGGTTTGAAAGCTTTGGTGTGATGGCCATTGATCAGGATGGTGAAGTGAGAGCTGTGGAGAAGGTTCTGGATGAGGGTTTGGAAGGTGTTATTGAAACCAAATTTGTCCAGGACAGTGATAAGGAAATTCCAAGAAATTCTATCAAATGCCTTAGACATGTCCAGCTTGATGGCAAGGTTACCCCCCCCCCCCTTGTTTTATAGTCAAGGCCATGGAAGAGTTCTTGTGTGAGGAGGACCTGGTCATGGATCACCCTTCCTTTTACAAATCCCCCTTGTTCAAGTGAGATCAATCTGGGAAGGATGGAGCTCAATCTTTGGGAGAGGATTTTGGAAAAAATCTTGCAGCAGAAATTTGACAAGCAAATAGGTCTATAGTCCTCATAGGATTGAGAGTTTTCCTTCTTTGGAATTAGTATGATAGTTGTCTGGGCACAGATTTTGGGGATAGGGATCCCCAAGAAAAACTCTTGGACAGCTTTTGTGCAGTCCACTTTGATTTGCTCCCAACAAGTTTTATAGAAATGACCATTGAGAGTGTCCAAACAGCCTCTTTTACTTCATTTTTATCTAGAAGGGAGGTGAGGCTGTTGTTGTCCATCTGAGTGATAAGGTTAGGAATATTAGCAGTGAATCTGTCATTGTGGGATTCTTTATACATAAAGGGTTTTGTAGTGGTTGAGGATTTCTTCATGAATCTCCTCATGGTTATGGAGTCATTTTCCATCTTTAGACTTGAGGCTATTTATCTTTTGTTGGCTTCTTCTGATTTTGACAGTGGAGTGAAAAAAGGCTGTGTTTGCATCTCCTTCTTTTGTCCATTTGATATTTGCTTTTTGTTTCCAGTAGGAGTACTCTTGTTGGGTAGCAATAATAAGTTTAGCCTTTGTTTCTTGCATGAGAGATCTCATTTCTGGGGTTGGGTGGGTGTCAAATTGTTCTTCAATTACTTTCAGTTCCCCTTCCAGCAAGCTAACCCTGGTGAATATGTTACCAAAAGTGTTCTTGTTCCATGTTTGGAGGGTAAATCCTAGGTTTTTCAGTTTGTAACCCAGTCCTCTCATCCCTCCACGAGTATAGGGGCCCCAGCTATTGCTTACAGTAGATAGGAAACTGTTGTGGGTGCTCCAATAGTTGATATATCTGAAGGGTTTGGGGCCGGTAAAATGGGGGTTGCTGAGCTTGATTAAGAGAGGGTTATGATTAGAAGTACTTCTGGGCAGGTGGCTGCAGGAGATTTCCTGAAAGGAATTAAGAGTATGGTTGCTGTGGAATACCCTGTCAATCCTTCTCCAAATTCTACCTAGGGACCTTACACCTGTCCAAGTAAAGGTAGAACCAGTGGCCATGGGAGAGATGAGAGAGGCATCCATGATACATTTGTCAAAGTCATGGATGCTCCTAAGGCAAGGGGTGTTAGTGCCCTTGTGGTGGTCTACTGAGGAGATGCAGTTGAAGTCTCCCCCAATCACCCAAGGATTATGCATGCTAAGGCTAGTAGCAGTGATGTAATCCCAAAGCCGTTGTCTGTCGGTGACTGAGTATTTCCCATAAACAGTTGTGATGGTGATGGGGTTGTTATGGTAAGTGAAGTATATGTTGATAGCCTGATCCATCTCCTGATGATGTTGATAGATTAGGTTATCCTCTTTCCACATGACCCAGACTCTATTGTCCATAGAAGACCTAGAGTGGCTGAAGCCCAGGGTCAGTTGAAAGTGAGTGAGTTTCTTAGCAGTGGTTTTAGGTTCCATGATGGCTAAGAAGGTGACTTTGTGGGTGGAAATTAGGATGGCCAGCCTCTGAAGTTTGGAGGGTAGACCACAAATGTTCTAGAAGAGCACATTCATTGGGAGAAGTGTTGGGGTTGATTGTGTGAGGAGAACTTCTCTTGTAATCTCTTTGATTTTCTTATAACTGTTGTGAAAGGTTGTTCATGAATGTCCTCTTCTGACCTAACCTGGTTGTCTTTGCTTTCAGGTGTGTCTTGTTGTTTGCAGGCTGAGGAATCTGAAGTGGAGGGGCCAAGGTGGGGCTCAGATAAGGGGTAAGTTTTCAGGGGTTCTTGTTTTTGATGAGGTTCTGTGTCTGAGATGTAAATGGGAGTTAATGATAAATTTTCTGTGTGTAAATGCAGGTCATCAAGAGAGGTGTGAGGGGGAGTAGGGGGTTGATTTGCTGTGGGTTTGAGTTGCTGATTTTCTTCCCAACTCACCAAACATTTGGCAAGAATATCATTGTGGACCAGGATTTCCCAGTCAGCTTCCTCCAAGAAATTTTCTGAGGTTGGTTGAGGTGTTGAGGGTTGAGGGTTAAGAAAAGGCTTGGGTGTTGTGATGTTTAGGCTGGGTTGGTTATTATTTGTTGTTGAGGTTATTGGGCTGGGTGGGGGGATTTCAGTGGGTAGGGTGGGTTGTTTGGGTGTTGGGATGTTTAGGCCTGAGGTGGGTTGGTTATTATTGGGTGGGTTGTTAATGGGGTTTATTGGGCTGGGTGTAGGGATTTCAGTGGGGAGGCTGGGTTGATTTAAAATGGGTATTGGGTTGGGTGTAGGGATTTCTGTGAGGGAGTTTTTGGGCTGTGGAGTTAAGGTGTTATTGGGCTTGGTTGTTATGGGTTTTGAAGTAACAGGGATGGATGTAGAGGGGATACTGTCGTGGATTGAAAGGGAAGTGTTATTATTGCTGGTGGGATTAAGTGGTGGGGTTGGCTGAGTGTTTGGCAGTGGGATTTGGGGCCCTCCTGAGTTATACTTGGGCAGGGATGGTTTTTTGGCTTGGAGTGTTTGTTTACCTGACTGACTGGGGATGGGCTTGTATTTTTGCTGCATGGAGGTTTCCAGGGGTATTTTCCGGCCATCAGAGTTCCAGGGGTATATATATATATATATATATACACACACACACACACAGAATTGACTCCAGTCAAATGACACCTTACGATGAGATGACGCCAATCTCACCACATTATACTGCAAAGCTTACCAATTGTTAATACAAAGCTCACCTGGAAATAAGGCAAAGTTCACCACTTTTAAAAAAATTTAAAATTAAAAAATTAATTAAAAATATAATAGCGGCATTGGTCAACCACAGATTAGCAGCGGCGTCCGGCGATTGGCGGCGGCAAGTGGCGGGGCGGGCGGCGGCGGAGGTTGCCGGTGGCGGCGACGGCTTGCAGCGGCAGCACGACGGTGGCAAGCGGCGACAGGCAGAAAGCGGCGGTCAACGGTCAAAATCTAATCAGCACCCCTTTGATTTTTTTTCAAAAAAAATTTAAAGTGTTGAAAAAATATGGTGAGCTTTGCCTTACAATTTGGTGAGCTTTTAGTTGTCCTTGGTTAGCTTTGCAATGACCAATGGTGAGCTTTGCATCATCTGAAACGTAGACACACACACAGACACACACACACACAGACACACACTCATACACACATACACACACACTCATACACACATACACCTCAACAAGCCCAGTAATCTGGTTTTTCTTTTTACGAGGTGCTAGCTGTTTCTGTGTTTTCCACATCTTATCTTGGCCATAGTCATCAATTTGATTGAATGAAGTCAGCTTATACCCAGTCATTTCCAATACATCTTCCAGAAAATGAACTCTTACCGGGTATGTGAAGCCCTGCAATTTATGCATGCCCCATTAGCCAAAAACACATATGCATATATGCTCTATTTAGGTAGATCATTAAATAAATTAAAGTGAAGGGTAATCAAAATACACTATTTTTTATTCTTGAGACAGTGGGACTGATTGGGTGTAAATTGAAAAAGATATCAAAAGGTATGTTTGCTACAAGATCTCTCAACAGTGCTTCTGCTAAACAGATGTGCACACACACATTACAGTATTATACATGAGACGAAGAAGATGACAACAACTAAGAATTTAGAAATGAAAAGCATACTGGAATGTGAAATGTTGGTGCTCCTCCAAAATAACTAGAAAATAAATCAGCNCACCTCAACAAGCCCAGTAATCTGGTTTTTCTTTTTACGAGGTGCTAGCTGTTTCTGTGTTTTCCACATCTTATCTTGGCCATAGTCATCAATTTGATTGAATGAAGTCAGCTTATACCCAGTCATTTCCAATACATCTTCCAGAAAATGAACTCTTACCGGGTATGTGAAGCCCTGCAATTTATGCATGCCCCATTAGCCAAAAACACATATGCATATATGCTCTATTTAGGTAGATCATTAAATAAATTAAAGTGAAGGGTAATCAAAATACACTATTTTTTATTCTTGAGACAGTGGGACTGATTGGGTGTAAATTGAAAAAGATATCAAAAGGTATGTTTGCTACAAGATCTCTCAACAGTGCTTCTGCTAAACAGATGTGCACACACACATTACAGTATTATACATGAGACGAAGAAGATGACAAAAACTAAGAATTTAGAAATGAAAAGCATACTGGAATGTGAAATGTTGGTGCTCCTCCAAAATAACTAGAAAATAAATCAGCATTAAGAGTGGCACTCATTAAAATCAGTCTCAAATCCTGACGTCTTGCAATTAAGAAGATCCTTCAGCACAATCAATAGGAAGTCTGCAAAGAAAAAAGAAGGTAGGAAGATAGTATTTCAGTTTTCTATCTATTTCATTCCAACCAAAATTACAGTGCACCCACACGTACACACAGAAGGACGGGGTTCAGGGGTAGCTCCCCTGGATTTTTTTTAAAGCAACTTAAAAATATGATGAGAATGGAATAAATATCATATCAAAAGTGTTTGAAATAAGTAAATCAAAAAATTTTAAAACTATACACGTAAAACAAAATATTTCAAAAGTAGAAAAACATAATATTGAATGAAGTACGGAGCATTGTTTTTAAAACAGGACTGGACCGGAAACCGGTTGTAGATCCATTCTGGTTTGGGCTAAGGCATTACATGTACAGAACCACTGCAAAAAGGTTTTAAATGACCGGTTTATACCGGTTTTACACCGCTTCAAGTTCACTAAATTAACCCTAAATCTCACCTCAAACTTGACATTTAACTTCCGGTGCCGGATCTGTCCCTTTCTCAAGTCTTCCAAGTGCATCTGCAGGTAACACGGCTCAGAGTTGGGCAGGCAACAACCGCAATGATTGAAGGCATTGAAGAGCTATGTCTTTGGCTTGGCCGCTTGGGACTAAACAACAAGGGACTGGACGAGCTTC